ACCAACAACACTCACCGTTTCAAACTAACTAACTAACTAACATTTTCCCCAGCTTAACAAAGGAAATAACAACTTGCAGTCTGATGAAAGGGGCTCTCTGTCACCTCACCCTGCATCTGACCCAGCCTGGGAACCATCTCTGGTCCTTGCTGCAGCCTCCCCTATTACCTGGGGGGAGGGGGAGTGTCTAAATATAACAATGTCCACATAAAGTTTCAGATGCTGAAGTAGCGGGCCAGCCAAAGAGGCCTGGTTTCCCAGAGTGGCACTTTTTTCGAGGGGTGGTATGAAGAGGACAAGAATGTCAAGGGAACAGTATTCATAAACACAAAACCACAGGACCCAGAAAGCCACATTCTCATAAATGGATCTTCTTCCTAGCAAGGATGAACCCACACCACTAGCAGTAAAGGCCGGAGGAAAACTCTCATCCACAGTTTGTGACGAGTGCTATTACATTATAAAAGCTTTGTAAACTCATTTGAATATGAAGTTGAACGATCAATAATGCATGGTTAAGAAATGCACAAGGGAAATTCACAATACAAACGTTTAGGGAAGTTATGCAACCTCTTGCTGACTGTAACATTACTTCGAATTTCCATCTTGTATCTAAGCATTCTTACTTACATCATTAAAAACTCCACAAACATCCATCACTGCACCAAGATCAGGCAAAGTCATCAATAAGCTCAAGACAACATGAGCTCTGATAGTCACTAGGTATTTTTACATGAAGCCTAATATTTAGATTATAATCGGTTTTAAAAGCCCAAACAGAATAAAAATACTCGATAAAAAAACCTCAATCAGAATAAAAAAACATGATCAATCGGTTTAGTTTACACCTTTTCATAAACTGATCAAACGGAAAATTGTACCATGTAAATTTAACCTAATTACTTTATGTTTGTGTTGTTTCTGCACATGAAAAGTTTATTTTTGAAACAAAAAAAAGAAATGTAAAAAGCAGGGATAGACTGAAGTGTTGAAAAAATTAAAAACAGCTGGAAAACTTTGAAGACCGCCACTCACAGGGCTAAATCCTAAAACAACAAAAGTGGATGCGAACCCACCTTTCAGCTTCACGAAAGCATGGACAAATTCATCCCTTTTGTGTCACACAGCTATTCCAATTAAATGCATCGGTGCATCTAAACACCAGAACGTGTTAGACCACATAACATGTAAACGGTTGACTCTTCAATCTGAATTGTTTCAATCAGAATGGAAAAAGGTGTAACTGCAGCTACTGTCTGTGTACTACTACAAACATACACACAACACTGGTTTTTATAAAGCCACACTGATTAAATAGAAATGATGCTATGCTTCAATGATAACCACACCACTGGTGATTTGGTTATCATAGTTTTCATGTTCAAATTATACTTACGAGCACAGAAACAGAGGATTACGGTACGGGGGAGCAGCCTTACACAGGAGGGAGACTGTAATTTAACCATGGTTCAACAACAGAGAGAGGTTAAGTATTTTGGAAAAAAAAACAAATGTGAAGTGGCATCTAAAAAAGACACAAACTAGAGACAATAATAGACGGGAAATTCCAAGATAGGCCAATTTAGCCTTTATACAAATGCCAAAAGACAAACAACTATTTGGGCTATTATCCCATAGAGCTATCACTCATCTCCTCAGTGGTGTAGCTATTTTCAGGCTGAGTGACAATCTACAATCTCAACAGGAGTAGTGTGACCTCAATTTCACTAACGACAGGGTGTGGGGAATAGGTTTTGGCTAATTTATAGACAAACTCCTCTCATGCAAATTTCACACTGGTTTCTGGCAGAGGCTCACTCTACAGTCCAAATGTAATGGTGGATAACACATGGTGCAGTATCATAATTATCACTTTGAGTAGCAAGTCAGGCTGCAACTAACGGATTATTTTTAATATCAACCATCTGTCGTTTAATCTATTTATTTAATAATGTTTTAGAAAAGTGATAAATGCTCATGGAGATTTCCCAGATCACAAGGGGACGTCTTCAAATTGTATGTTTTGTCTGACCAACAATCCAAACCAAGGAAATGTTGTTTAACAAAATTAACGTTTGTAGTCCCTTCATGCACATTACATTCATAGAATAAAATATGAAATAAAATAAACCAATACATACATACATAATTATACACCCAGGAAATAATTCTGCAGTCCATTTTTTTAAACATATGTGTCTAGATCATGATGATAATATGGTTTTTATCTTCACATAAAAAGAAACAGTGTCCATTCACTTTGACTGCGTTTGAGCTCGCTACTCAATTTACAATGATATATAAAAGAGAAAAGCATTTTCTTCATTTTATACTATTAAGGTAGCCACAACCATCATTGTGGAGTCTGCATGTTGTGTCTGCACGGTTTTTCGACCGCACACACACACACAAACAAACAAAAAAAAAAAAACACACACACACACACACACACACACACACACACACACACACACACACAGGTTTGTCAAACTGGGAACTCAAAATAGCACTTAGGTGTGACTGTAAGTGTGACCGTAGCTCTGTAATTAACTGACAGCCTGTTCAAGGTATACGGCTGCCTATCCCCTAGTGTGTGCTGAGATACGCTGCAGGACCTTGTGACCCTGACGAAAATAATCAGGCATATATGCACATAGGCTGTATTTCCAAGACATCTGAAAAGACAACAGTAAACTCTTAAAAAGACATTTTACACAGCAGGGTTGGCAAAAGGCTTCACTATCTGGTGTGTTTTGTGACACTGGTGCGTTTGTATGCCTTTGACATCTATCATAAAGCCGCCATTCAGCCTGACAAAAAGGCTATTGATGCCCCTTCACTGAAATAATATTATCACAAAAGAATACAATGAAGGCTGCTGACTGAAGGGAGTTGTGAGAGAACCCGTAGATGGACATTACATTTGGTGAGTGACACACTGAGATATAGTGATAATAAAACTATGAATTGAATTCAAATATATTTTTTTGGTTAACCAAACTATACCTTAAATTATTATTTGCTGCTTTCATCCAGGAAATAAATATTACGCCAAAGCCTTCTGATACCCAAAAGTGAGATATGTGGTGATTTACAGAAGAAAAATATGTTGACTTTATCATCAACTCTCAGAGAAGGAACGAAAAAGGCTAATGCTGCTGACTGAGGCCCATTCACGGGCATAAAAACAAAATAAGGGCTCACATGCTCTGCCTCACACGTGGCTCATATCCTGTTGGCATCAGAGAGGGCAGTCAGAGCATTGTTCAAGAGCACATTCAATGCCTGACTAAAGGCTTTCAACAAATAAAAGTTCAGTTTGCATCCATTTCTTAAAGTTAAAGTTCTTCCTTGATTTGGCGATGAAGAAAATTACAAAGAATGTTGTTATATATACACACTGATCCATAAAGCAAGGGGGGCAGGTCTTGTATATCAGACCACCATTTTTGAAATGTCCAAGTTGCAAATGGGCATCACAGTAAAATTGGTCAACTCATTGGGACCTGATCTGAAAATGTGTAAAAAACTCAAACCGTTTGACACCAGCAGGAACGCAGAGAAGAGAGAGGGTCACAATGAAGGAGAAACATATGCTGGGCCTTCACACGCTACTCATCACATACAAGTACAGCATCAGTGCTGTCACCTTTCCATTGTGGGGCTTCCTCGTCAAACCACAAGCACTGTGTCACCCAAAATGTGACACGCACGAAAGGCTGAACATAGCAACAATAAAAAAAAATACAAAACGCTCCATGCTATAGGTTTTGTGGTTGCGTGCATGCACAGCTAAGTAAAATAAATAACTAATTGTAATAAAAGCCTCTAAGACGACAGAGTCTGTGGACTGTAGATTTTGTACTGATCCTGTGTATCCATATGAGCACAAGCACGCACCAACTTCATTCACAAAAACATTATCTGACTCCTTCTTCCTCCACAAACAACGCTGTACACCAATTATAAATATTTGTGCATATTTGAAACGTGCGTTGATGGCAAGAGTCAATATGCACTGACCAGTAAACGACATGCACATCTGCAACAAAAAACACAGCGAGGGGAGCAAATGACAGTAAAACAATGACCACCAGACATCTGGCAGAGGATGAGAGCTAAATCCTGCTGGAGATCTTACACTGGGACTGTCTGAAACCTCCCCCACTCCATACATGAACCAGTGAGACACCCAGTTAACCTTCCAAAGGGGACCACGCATGGCATGACATTACATACAGACCAGTGACTGGCCTACTTCTGGACGCTGGAGCATCTGTGGTCTGTACATTGTGCTTGTGTAGGGTGAAATCCTCCAAATGACAAGGACTACGTCTGCATTTAGAATTAAATTACATAGTCATTTTATATGGACCAGAATCACAGTTCCTGATTGTGACACTCATACTGTATACATTAATTTAAAAAAACGAAACTGAAAAAATTAGGATTGGCTCCATACGCAGACAACCAAACAGGAAATAGATACTGATTGTTGGGGAGTGGATAATCAAAATATTAGGGACCCCACTATTGGCACACATCTCGACATCCTAGCTAAAAGGGGTTCACACGCTGTATTTAAAGTGCTGGAAAACCCGTGAAGAGTGATGCAAATTCAGAAATCCCCCTTTAGAGAAGCGCTCATTCACCGACCTTACCACAGACCATCCATCTACTTCTTACAGCAATAAGGTATCTCTTCCCAGAAGAAGAGCCAGCATTCATTTAATAAAAAATAAAAAACACCAAGAGCACACAAAGCTGTAAACTCACGAGTAGAATGAGTTATATATAACGTTAGCTTCCTTTACTGGTTTATAGAAGATAAAGCAAGTTGTAAAAAACAACAACAACAACAACAAAAGGACCAGATAAAGAGACGCATTTAGTGTCCACCTAACAAACAAACTCTAATAACTGTAAAGTGAGTGAACCCGTAAACAAGCATGGTAACAGAGGCTAGCGCTCAGTAGCAGCAACCCGTCGTAGCTGCTTACCTTTCGGGGAGACTTCCCGTCCTCTACTGCGCTGTACCTACGAGTAGAAACAAAATCCACTATTCTCATTCTCTCCACCTCGCTCGTCCAGGGGGAGCCTTCACTGCCCGAAAAACAAACCCCGCTGTCACCGTGTCGAAGCGCTCGTCGTCCCCCTCTTTTTTTTTTTTTTTTTTTTTTTTTGACTAGCTTCGCTTTTAAAAAAAAAAAAAAAAAAAAAAATCGATGCTGCTCAGACTCACTCACTCTCTCGAGCCCAGCTTCCACATGCCGCGCGAGCTGTCTGCAGCTGTCTGGCAGGCGGGCGCACCAGTGACAGTGCGGCGCACGCGCACGCGCACGAGCAGCGGCGGCGGGAGGCGACGTCTTTTAACGCGAAGACGTCGAGTTTGCGCACGAACTCACTTAAAAAGACGGTAAGCCCTTTTATTTACCGTGTTTTTATTGTTTTTTTTATTCATTTATTAAACAAATACGATAGTTAAATTAAAGTGATAAGGTGCAGAAGCTTGCTTGCAACTAACCTGATGAGTTAACGTTGGTTAAATGGTTAGCTAGCTCGGAGCTTTTGATACATTTATGTCATTTAAGTTGGTTATTTTAGTAGAGAGTGTGGAGTTGCATGAAAAAGTAGTCGGGTGAATAAAGTCTTTGACAAAGTTTGTCATCTTGCGCCCTCTGTTGGATAAGCAGTGGGCATACAGGCGATGCTGGGATTTTGCAGCGTGTTTTATGTCACCTAATGTAAGATCTAAGATAGGTTTAACCTGTGAAGTCTTAGAATAAAGCAAGGTGTACTTCATCACAAGGTATGGCATAAACCAAAACAAGTGGGCATAAAAGTATCCAGTGTTTCACGAGCAAAAATAAAAAAAATAATGATAATTTTGTGTAACAGAAATACATCATTAATAATAACATATTAATCTCTGGATCCCTTCAAAGAGGGAACCACTAGGACAAAGAGAGACAAGTGCAATAATGACACAACATTAGCTTATGTTTTTTAGCAATGTTATGCTGTGGTAATCATGGGAAAGTCAAAAGACACTTGACATTTGTTCCAGGTTCAGGAGTAAAAAAAACAACAACAAAGGCACATCTTCAGGGCCAGATACCCGTGGCACTGGGGGTAAAAATGTCAGGGATGCTTAACATAGACTCTTTTATTTTCTGTTAATGGCTAAACAATTATCATCGGATATTATTATTTTGTGATATCTTAAGTATAATATGAAAATGTGCCAGCTTTTGTTACCAATAGGCCATTTTCACAGCAACCATTATGACTTGAAATAGTAGGGTAAACACAGGTGTTACCAATAATACTAATTAAGGTCAGTAAACAGAGTCAGGGTGCAGCTATTGTGCATGTTGGCTCACTGGAAAGGCTCTGCTGCACTAGATGGAAGGGGGCATTAGTATCATTGTTAACACCTGTGTCTATCCTACAATTTCATGCGAAAATGGTCTATTGGCAGTTGAAAAGTGAATCCTAATTGCACAAATGTAGTGTTGCACTCCTGACAACTGTTTGGTTTTATCGGTGCACTGTTTCACCACACAAATGTGGCCCGCTGATAACACCACACAGCGCTGTGGTGTGTGTCGCCTCATTAAATGCCACATAGTGGTATCTTTTAACCCGCAACAGTGGATGTTTTGGACTAAATCTCCCACTGAATTCAAGCCATGCAGTTGTTTTAGGGCGTAACAGAAAAGAGGAACAACCACGACTGCTGTTTTATTATCTTTAGTGCAATTTCTGTAAATAAACCGCAGAATACAGTGGAATTTAATACAAAATCAGAATCTATCATCTGAAAAATTGCCTCTGCCCACGGACTGAGCAATGATCTGCAACAGTGTGCAACAATGCGACCCTGTGTCTGAATGTACGTTTAGTCTTGTGTCTGATTTTGAACTGATTTGCTGTTCTGACCATCTTTTTCGTGGAAGATGTTTTACAGGTAGGAAAATATTCCATGTAGTTGCTTTGGTTGCAGGGTCATGGTGTTGTGCATGCTGGCTCACTGTCACACTATCGTGGCTTACTGGGACACGTGAATAGAACATATATATTGTTAATGTCATTAGTTACACTTTTCATACTGTGACTGGTCAAAATGAAGGTTATATTTCCAGACTTTCTTGACAGACCTTTTGCAAAGCAGACAATTGTATTTATCATGGCAGAAAGCCCAGATACAGTAAGATAAGATAAAATGTTCCTTTATTGATCCCCCATAGGAGAAATCCAAATTAGACACCTCAGCATAGGGGAATGTAGTGCAAAAAGTACAGAGGTGTACAAGTACAATAAGAATCACAGAATGAGAATATTATAAAACATGAGAAAATATAAGACTATAATGAAAAATATATACACTATATGCAATATGCAGTAAAATGAATAATATACATGTGCAAACAAGTATAACAAGTATAGGGATGCATAATATCTTTAAATTATTGGCTGATAATGGGAAATTTATATTATTATGAATTATTCCAATAATTAAATTACAGGTGAAAAATTATCGGCCCATTAAAAATGTATAAATGTTGAATTCTTATGCAAAACAATTGATATGCTTTACACTCTATGACAGCCAAAGTATGTTTGTAAAGTTTTTTTGATGTACTTCACTAGACGAAAAATCAATTAACATTTAAAGAGTAAGTTAACATTAGTGATGGTTAGGTCAGAGCTACGGAATATTAAATTATCCATCTTTGCTCTGTACATCTTAGCAAGTCCTACCCTCAGGTGTGTAAAAAATGCAGGTTATGAACTTCCTGTCTGCTGTGAATAAGGGCAGTCGATGGATGAATACTGAGAACGAATAGCTGAGGCTGACGCTGCACAGCCACACAGGTTTTTTCCAATTGTTTGCTGAGGTCAC